ATATATTTTATAATTTTATATATTTAATAATTTTATATATTTTATAATTTTATATATTTTATAATTTTATATATTTTATATATTAGGTGCTGGTATCAAGTTACGCGAGGAGGGTTGGGCTGTTGCAGTAGAAACATGTCTTAAAAATCTGGCATTCTCATTCTGCTGTAATGATACTCATGATTCCACAGTATTGAGAGAACTTATGAGAGGATTGTATGAACAAAATAGAATGCCACAAGTTGTTGTCTCCAAGTTTCAGGTTCGTATTGATCAATTTATAAACTATAGATGACGACTCAGAGACTACATATATGTATCATGCATAGATTATCTCTAAATGTTAAGTTTGGGGCATCTCGCTTGATACATAGTTAATAGAATAGATGGTTTGGAAACTCATTAGAATAACAATATAACTCGTTATCTATGTTAGTCAACGTTTATTCATAAACATGGTCGTTCACCGTCACGTGTGTATTGTGTTCTTGCCAAATCCACCAATAGCAATTTTCGATTTACCCTATTGTTCGAGTCACGGTTAGGTAACTTTCCTAAAACATTCCTATTGGTTAGTTGGGCAAAAATACAATACGCACGTGACGGTGAAGGACCAGATTTATGAATAAACGTTGACCAACATAGATAATGAGTTACATTGTTATTCTAATGAGTTTCCAAACCCTCTATTCTATTAACTATGCTTAATAGAAGTCAAAGAAGTTGATAGAACCATCATATATGTACTATTTAAAACACGAGCAGGAGTGGTTTAACAGATATAAATCACGAGGAGACAGCCGAGTGTTTTATATCTGATTAAGCATGGACTGCGAGTGTTTTAAATGGCTTAAAAAACGACCCATCTTTATGAGTTCATTTGCGAAGTAATTTGAAAAATTAGCCGAAAAATAAAGTTAAAATATGACTTATCACATACCAACGGAATAATGTAGTGATTCAGGATGGATCCGTGGTGGTGGTGGGGTGCTCTGCCAGCTCTAGTGCCGAGTTGTGTCGGTCATGTGTGCTGCCCGCCCATTAACTACTGCAAAGTTCTGCAAAGTCTTGCTTGACTACAGTATTTGAATTGTAATTGTTGTTCACAGTTCGCTCATCATCATGTTATTACTCAAATTACTGTATCTCATTTTGTCTCTAATAATTTTTTGCTTTATCTTGAAAAATAGCACCCCACCCCCCCCTGCACCCCCTCAGTAAATCCATCCCTGTAGTGATTTCCTTTGTCTTTTTCTCATGAATTATTACCAAGACTCGTGTAATAAACATGGATATTTTTCTCATTTCCACATATAGGGAGAATATTACGATATCTCAAGGAATGTAAGTTCAATGTACAAGTGTATTTTGTCTATTCTGATTGGCTTCAATCTTGCACTTATGTTCACTCATTAATAATGTTTTACTTAAAATTTTATGAAATGAAATTTTATGTTTTTATTTCAATGATTTACCTTTTCTTGTTTAGAAACCTCACTGTCGTTATCCAACCGTCATTGATGTCCTGCAGATTGACGATCCTGTAATATTTAACTGCATTGTTGATCAAGTATGTATCTCTTGAATAAAGGACTTATTATAGTCGGACGTGTGCTTACGGATACCTCTCTAATACGAAAAGTTCTCAATGTACCGAAATAATGTACAGTCAAACAATTAGCGGGATGTCCATATTAGAGGGGTGTCCATAATAGAATGTAGAGGGGTGTCCATAATAGAATGTGGACACCTCTTTAATATGGACATCTCGCTAACAAGTATACCTCTCCAATACAGATACCCCTGTTAAGGATACCTCCCTAATATGGACACCTTTCTAATACTGACACCTCTCTAATACTGACACCTCTCTAATACTGACACCTCTCTAATACTGACATTCTCTAATACGGAGGACACCTCTCTATAATGGACACCTTCTAATATGGACACCTCTCTAATATGGACACCTCTCTAATATGGACACCTCTCTAATAGAGACACCTCTCTAATAGAGACACCTCTCTAGGACACTCTCTAGGATAATACGGAGGACACTTCTCTAATACGGAGGACACTTCTCTAATATGGACACCTCTCTAATACTGACACCTCTCTAATATGGACACCTCCTTAATAGAGACACCTCTCTAGGACATTCTCTAATATGGACACCTCTCTAATACTGGCGCCTCTCTAATATGGACGCCTCTCTAAATCTAATGTACTGCGTACATCTGTGGATTGGGAATAAATTTATATATTTTCCTCAAATATGTAGACTGGTGCTGAGTGTGTTCTGTTGATCAAGGATCCGGAAGAAGCTCGAGATGTTATGTTTAATCGAGTACCTCAGAATGCTAGAATGGTAAGTTCTGCAAAGGCAGTATGTATATTGAAAACACAGTTGTAGCTAGGTCCATGCGCATGTCTGATTATAGTTTCATATCAGTCAGTTTCCCAATGATGAATCCATCCTTGCGCTCATAGTTATATATTACATCATGATTGATTGTGATATATTCTCGTCATGATTGATTGTGATATATGTGAAGATCTCTTTATGGGACTCGTCTCTTGTGTTGCCACACAGGAGGTGAGCTGAGGGAAACTAGACAACATCTGAACTACATTTAAAGCCTTGAAATTTTAATCTTCCTGCCCCACTATTGCAGTGCTTAGTACATGTGCCTTTCTCCTGTGACCGAGGTTCGATTTCTTCAATATGAAGCGGCTTGATTTAAATACGCCTCAGTCTCATTCATACATAGTAAGCGAGTGAGTAAATGATTTTGAAAGATGCAGCTGAACCTGATCGAGTTGTAGGCTTTCTAAAGGCCCTTTTAAACTTGCAATTTTTGCTGAGATTTTTAGTGTGATTTTCTTCTTATGCATGTGAACGAGTAATTGAGTTATGAATGCACTCAGTATATGTAGCCTCATCTGAACATTCAGTAAATTGCCGCCGCCTGTTTGTGAGAAAAGTGCTTTCATCCATAACATAACATCGATATAGGAAGTAACATGTACCTTTCCATGATAATGTTTCCATAGGCATTCGCAGGAAATGGAGATCAAATATATGGTGGTAAAAGTGCCAAGTCGTACGCTTACACTGGTAGTGGAAGTAGTTATTTGAAGGGAAATATCGAGGATCAAATAAGGTACACCATTTTAAATGAGGTTCGGTGGTTTGTGTCTGAACTATAGGAAAACAAAAAACCATAAGCGTACAAGGTGGTTTGGAGATCAGGGGGCTGCAGCCCCCCAGAGAAAATGAAGTTCTGCAAAAAGATGTTTGGCTTCAATTTTTGAGCTGGAGTCAGCCTTCAATGTATACAGCCCAGTGGTAGTAACAGCTGGTCATAATAACCAATTGAGTTGCATTGCACCCCAATGCACCCTACTATGTTATTTTACTCTCTGTCTATCGCCAGATGATTTTACTTGTCAAGGGGAGGGTACTGGTGCTCGATGGCGTATCATGCATTTTCAAACTATTAGTTTTGGGGGAAACTGTTGCAATTTTTTGTCTATGATGATTTTTAGAATTGGGAGGACTGTATAAAGAACTACCTACACTTGCTCTAAAACTGTTTTCCCAAGCATTGAAGTCCCTTTATTAGCATGTACCACTATTTGTCATTTTTTATCAAACATCGTTACTAAATTTTCATTTTGTACAATGTTCTCAGACGTGTGCAAGCGCAACTGGAAGACGAACGTGGCAGATATTCTCAGTTAACAAGTGAACACGACAAACATAACAAGGATCTAAGAGAACTTCAAGGAGAGTTAAAGAAAAGTAAAATGAAGAGCATAAAGGATCAGGATATGTACAACAAAATCTTGCAGGTTAGTGAAATCTACATGATTTATGATACGACTATAGTTTTCTAGTGAGTGTTTTTCGCACGGTATTGTCGATTTCAAGTCACTTTTCAACGCGACTTTTCCAAGTTCGTTGCGAACTTGCCAATTACGTTTCCAAGTTCACAAATTGGGCGTGAATTTCGCAACAAAGTTCGCAAGTACGTTTCAATGTTTAAACTATTGTAAACAAATGTTCATAGAATCATAGTTCAAGTTGAAATTAACAATTCAATGTAAAGTTCTTGATCCAGTGGGCTACCAAGAAGATTTGTATTTCATTGAATTGGTTATGTATGAACATTGTTTACAAACGAAGTTCGAACATCGAAATGAACTTGCGAACTTTGTTGCGAAGTTCGCGCCCAATTTCCGAACTTGGAAACGTAATTGGCAAGTTCGCAACGAACTTGGGAACCTCGTGTTGAAAAGTGACTTGAAATCGACAATAATGCATGTACTACTACAGAATACAGATTATATTCAGGCTGTGTCCAGTTGTCTGATTATAATGAAAAGAATGTTTCCAGTGTTGTAACGAGTCACCCAAAGGTCGAGTCACGAGTCGAGTTATTTCACTATCTGGTTGAGTCGAGTCAATGACTACACGAATTGTATGGTGAACAAACGGTGAACAGAAATGCCTTCCCTACAAGTGCAACCATGCTGATCTGCATCGAGAATTTCTTTTTATTTCGTCAAGCCCTTTTCAAGGACTCTTCCCAACTTATTCACATATAATACTTTTGATGGATTTATCCTGAGCAAGTTGTAGCTGAGTTGACTCGAGTCATTTACGGCAGAAATCAACAAGTCGAGTCCGAGTCGAATCATTTGGGACTGTTGACTCGCGAGTCGAGTCATTTTTCGTACTCGACTCGTGCTGAGTCGCAGAAAATTGCGACTCGAGTCAGAGTCAATGGCTTGACTCGTCACAACACTGACCGACACCTCTCTAATATGGACATCTCGCTAATAAGTATTGATCTCCAATACAGTCGCCTCATATAATTTCATCAATTTCAGGAAATAACAGAACTCGAGCAATTTGAAGAGGAACCTGTCCCTGATGTCACCGTGTTGGTAAGATTTGAAAGCCATAATTTTATTATTCTTTGTGATATCATGAATAACTAATGATGCCCAAAATCATGTTTTTATTTCATGTGTATAGCAAGAAGATGTGAATGCTCTAACTCAACAGATTGAAGATGTTTCATTACAGGTATCTGAAAAAAAATTTTTGAATAATTTTTTTCTTGTTGGTGCTAGTATTCCATCCAAAGGTCATAGGTTCGTTTCCCACCGTGGCCAGGCATATTTTTCTTGTTGGGCTAGTGTTCCAAAGGTCATAGGTTCGATTCCCACCGTGGCCAGGCATATTTTTCTTGCTTGCCTGTTGTGGATATACACTCATAGTAACATCACAAGTATCATAATTTCGAATAAGTTATGATTATTAGGTAAGGTTTATAAATGAAAAACTGATGTGTCATTAATATTTCCTTTGTCTTGGAACTGTAGAACGACGGCAAATCGAAAGAGTATTTGCAAGCAAAGACATCTCTTGAGGAAAAGAGTAAAGAGTCTGATCTACACAAAACGAAGATCCAGGAAGTGATTGGCAAGGCAGAACCACTCACGGTAAGAATATAGTGGGGTTTTCGGTTCTCGCACCAAAAAACTGCGGTTTTTCGGTTTTGGTATCTTTCACGGTTTGCAATTTTTCCCGTCATTGGGGTAATAGAGACCTTACGATTTTAAGACGGCAACGCGACGGCAACGGCTACCAATACAATAGATAATTGAAAAGAATTGAGTAATTACAATATGAATAACTTAGATATTGTCCTCGCTCTGTTTACAACGCCAAATCACAGATTTTCACGTCTTGATACAACGGCTGTATTCCAAGCCACAACAAGTGCAACTTTAAACTGGGTTTAGCAGAACTCTTTCCAACTATAAAACCCATGTCGTCAACTTCTAAAACTGCATTAAATGCATACGATTGATAATATACGACGAACTATCTTTACTACCATTTATTTGAAGGAGTTTATTTTGGCCGTTGCGTTGCCGTCCTAAAATCGTAAGGTCTCTAAATGATGACCTCGATCACGTGATCAAACTAAGTGCTAAGACTCTACTACACTTAACCTGAAGTTCAGTTTAGGGCCTGATCTTCAGGTTATACTACACTAGACAATTAAATATCTGTATAACTATACGTAATTTCCGACTCTTTACTCTCGCGTGTCTCTCTTACAAATAGGGAGTTAAACTTCATGTTTCCGGGAACGGCAAACGGCTGGTTCGAACTTTCTTGGCAAAATTTTCGTTGAACGTTTTCGTTTCATATTTTCTTTCTTATGTCGAAAGAATAATTATGCATTTTAGTTTTAAAACTGCTAGTTCATTTGCTCTTCATTGCTTGATACCGTAAAATATTTCTTTGCTTGGCGTTTGCCGTTTTACGTATAACGCGAAGCTTAAACTCTCTAATAACTGATACAACTAACGCCTATAATGTCACTCAAAAATGTCATCAATTAAATGTCTATATAAACCATAACAGAACTTAACATTAACTATATAAGGATAAATTATTAAATGTCAAATGTTGCTCGCTATTTACACCAATGCCCAAACATCCTTGGCAAGAAAAACGAAATCCATCACCATAGCTAGAAAGAACATGTTAAAATGAGTAAAATTGCAAAGTTTGGTTGCGAAATGTTGTAAAATGCAGAAAATATAGCCCTGCGAAATTTGCGAATTTTGTATTACGCACGGGAAAATGCACCACATTACGCACAAGGGAATATGCACATAGTGCATATTCCCTTGCGTAATACAAATTAATACAAATTTTGCAACATTTTACAACATTTTGCAACTAAACATTTAGCAATTTTAGTAATTTTAAGATGCTCTTTATAGCTGTGGTGATGGATTTCGTTCTTCTTACCTAGATCAAAATTTACTATATAGATGGAATCATCGATTAGATTGAATGAAGGATCTGTTATCTGACTTAGTTTTGCTTCGTTGTATGTAGTTACAATTGAACGCCATCGAAGCTGACATTGCTACAGCAAAAGGTCATAGAAAACACTACCATGATAAGAAGAATGAAGTGTTGAAGAAAATCTCGAATGTGGAAGCGGAGTTGAAAGCATTGAGTGAGGACGCTGAGGTTTGTGAGATTTGCCTGTATTGTTTGCTGTAGGTACAGGGATGGGTCCACCCAGATCTGGGAGGGGCGGGGGTGTTTACTTAGACGGTGATGGGTCCATCAGAGGGATGCTCACCTAGGATGGCGATGGGTCCACCCAGATCTGGGAGGGGTGGGGGTGCTTACCTGAGATGGTGATGGGTCCATCAGAGGGATGCGTATTGCTTACCTAGGATGGTGATGGTTCTACCCAGATCTTGGAGGGGCGGGGGTGCGACCGTTGACCAATTGCATAATCACTAGAAGGAGTACAGTACCTCAAGAAACAATCAATTATTAAGTTCGTTCCATAGGGAGACAGCGCAGTAATAAAATGTCTGTTACCCAGTTGCACTCTTGAGAAAGGAGATATTCAAAGAACTTGTCGTACAACGTCCACTAATAACTATTGGTATGTTTTTTCGTAGAATGCAGCAAAGAAGGCAGCTGAATATTGTGAGCGTGTTCAGACCAGAAGAACAGTGAAGAGTTTGGAAAGTGAAATCTCCCAAACGGAACGAAGATTAAGAGCTGAACAACAGACGTATGTATTAAGCCCTCGCAAGCAAGAGTTTGCATGAGAGTTTTCTCAACTCTCGTGCCCCGGTCAAATCAGAATTAGTGTTGCATGAGAATTGATGGGATATTTTTTGTGTGTGTTTTTGATGTTATGTACTCAGGTGTATATAATGTTTCCGATGTTATTCTGAGTGTATATCAAGGTTTGGGTAACAAAAATGTATTGTCATTTCCAAAGCATGGCTCACTCAAATATTGAAGATCAATGAGAGACACTATCTGTTGATTGGATATTAACCACGCATGTAACTAGAACTCATCAACTCTCATCAAAATATGAACCAGCTCAGAGTTGACGCAAGTCAAACGCGACAGAGACTCTCATCAACACTCACCCTCGCTTGATCGGGCCTTTAATTCAGTATTCTTGTATTCTTGCAGCCGTGGTCAGATAGAAGAAATAACCAAACAGTTTTCTGAAGCTACAGAACGTTTGAATAACGTGAATGCTAGTATGAAGAGCTTGGCAACTTTATGCAAGGTAATCGTCAATGGTATACCAGTGTATATTTCTTCCAAACTGTTCTCACTAGAGGTTCACCGCTTGTCCAGTGCTACTGCCGAAAGAAACCTACTTAACCTAAAGCGACTTTATTTATACTGGATAGCTTTATCACTTCTAAACTGTTCTCCCTAAAGATCCACTAAGATTCATCCCGTATTGGTCCAGCGTTACTGCAGGAAGAAATCCGAGCACCGACTCTATCATGTCTAAACTGTTCTCCTTTGGGACCGGTCATTATTTAAGGCGGCGGCTGGCACCGAAGAGAATGTTTTTCTTTATAAACATTTTGTTGGTCCAACCATAAAAAGTCAAAAACATTTTTGCCCAACCTCATCAATTAAGAAATAAATACCCACCCCTGACAAAAACTTTACAAAAGGATGCAATTCAGTTTGATAACTGCTTATGCAATTTTCTGCAATCTTTCATGTTATCTGCACATGTACTTTCTTTGGAGACACCATTTGCCTTGTTTGTTTGCCTAACCCAAACCCTTTTTGTCAAGATAGTGACTCTCATTGATCTTCAATATTTGAGTCAGTCATGCTTTGGAAATGACAATAAATTTTTAGTACCCAAACCTTGAGAGTTGTTTTTGTTTTTCATTTGCCCAACCTTTTGCTCACCAAAAATTTTGTTTACCCAACCCTTTTCTCTTTGGTGACAGCACCGCCTTAACCCATTGAGTGAAATATGAGTCTCATTGGGCCCTGATGTGCCGTACTTTATTATTTTACTCTGTCTAACACCAGACGAGGAAGGGAGAGCACTGGCGCTTAATGTGTTAGAATCATGACCGGTCCCTCAGAGATCCTGTAAGGTTCGTCTCGTATTTGACCAGTGTTACTGCAGGAAGCGTTGTAGTTGCATTGAAAGGCTTTGTATCACATAGTATGTTGTTTTGTTTAGAAAATGGGTAAAATGTTAGATGAACGAATTCAGCTGTATGCTCAATATAGAAAATACATTGCAGTTCGGGCCAACATTCATTTCCAAATGATGTTATCTCAACGTGGATTTACGGGGAAAATGAAACTTAAGCACAAGGAAGAAGAACTCCATTTACTGGTAAGCAAAGGTTGAGCCCCGTAGACGAGAACGTTTTCCTCGGCAGCGAGCCTTGTATGGAAGCTAGGCTTGGCAGTTTGGCGTCCACCGGTTACGGCGAGGGGGGCTAATACCCGGTTAGTGGGGGGAGGTCACGGTGTGAGTTAGGGGGTCCGGGTCCCCCAAACAAAAAAATAGTATGCCTGTGTGATGCTAACATAGATTCAAAGATGGCTGTATGATGATGATAATCATGTTGGTTCTGATATTGACCAAGTTTTGGCGAACATTTTGACCAACTTTTCAACGAGAAAACTGAATGCTTGTGAGGTGGTTTTTTACAAGTTGAAAATTTCCTGCGAGTCAAAATACTTACTTTTCTTGGGGCTTTTGAAGTACTACTATAGTTAGTTGACAATGTAAACCAATTTGAAAAATCATCAAATGACAAACTATTTTGACCAAATATATTCCATTTTGACCAACATTTTGAACTTAAAAATTATTGGGGGGGGAGGGGGTGTTACACCCCCCTCAGTACCGGCATCCCTGGCTAGTTGCGTTTTTACTATTGGTCGCGTTTTTAATATGGTCAATTATTTTAGGTCGATGTGGATCAGGCATCCCAAGGTGAAAGGAAAAGTACTAAATCACTTTCTGGAGGGGAAAGATCATTCTCAACCGTCTCATTTATCATGGCGCTTTGGGATGCCATGGAGGCACCGTTCAGATGTTTGGACGAATTTGATGTATTTATGGTAAGCACTGTCATTTCTAAACTTTTCATCCTAGAGGTCTTGTAGGGCCATTTCATTTTCGACCATGCAGTGTTTCTACAGGAGGAAAGTTAGACAAACCTAATGTTGCTTGTGATGTTACTCTGAGGTATATCCACACCGAGAGTAACATCACACTCAGAGTAACATCACACGCATCTTATTCACCTGAGTACATTACACCTACACAGCAAATATCAAAACTAATGTTATTTATACTGGATAAATATAAGGATTTTGAGCATCTCACTGGATATAACTAATTTTTGAAAGGGAATTTTTGTGGCAAGTCTGCCCACCGTGGTCAGGCATATTTTTCAAGCTTGCCCGGTGTGGATACACACTCAGAGTAACATCACAAGCATCATATTCACCTGAGTACATTACACCAACACAGAAAAAATCATGATTATTAGATTACATTGGTATCGAAGGAACTAGATTCTGTTCCGAAATATCACGTACTCTAACCGACCAGACCGCGTAGCTCAGTTGGCAGAGCATTGGGCTAGTATTCCAAAGGTCGTAGGTTCGATTCCCACCGTGGTCAGGCATATTTTTCAAGCTTGCCCGGTGTGGATATACACTCAGAGTAACATCACAAGCATCATATTCACCTGAGTACATTACACCAACACAGAAAAAATCAAGCCCTCAACAAGTTGTGATCGCACTGCTTGTCCCAAGTTGTTAACAACTTGTAACAAGCTTGATGGCATTATCAGACTTGTTGCAAAGGTTGTTCCAACAAGTCTGATACAGTCATCACTCATGATATAACAATATTGTTACAACCATGTGTCGTCAACCTTGTAACATTCTTGTTACATCATGACTGCATCAGACTTGTTAGAACAACCTTGTAACAAGTGTGTTAATACCATCAAGCTTGTTACGAGTTGCTAACAGCTTGTTCCAAACTTGTTACAACAACTGGGAACAAGCAGTGCGAACACAACTTGTCAACAGTTTGTGAACAGATTTGTAACAACTTGTTTGCAAAAATTTTGATTTTTCTAGGATATGGTCAATCGTCGAATTAGCATGGATTCCATTATGAAAGTGGCAAAGGAACAACAGCACAGGCAGTTTATCTTGCTTACCCCGCAAGATATGAGGTAGGGATTTTAGAACTATCTTGTCTTTTGTTTATACATGACTTACACACGTAAAAACGCACAAGTTGTAACAAACTTGCTTGTCAACAGGATGTATTCGCACTGCTTGTTCCCAGCTTGTTGACAAGTTCTCAACTGCTTGTTGACAACCTGCTACAAGGTTGTTGAACTCAACAGACTTGTTACAAGTTGTGCGTTATCGTCCTGCATCTCAACAATTTGTCAACAAGTTGTGAGTGACAACCTTGTAGCAACTTGATGAAATAACAACATTGTCACAACTTGTTGACAAGCTTGCTACAAATCTGTTGCGAACACATCTTGTTTGACATGTTGTGATATTTTTACGCGTGTACCTCTGCAAGATCTAACCATACTTGTGTGTTTAAAGCCGGTTTTCTAAATGGTTCTGATCTGGTGAGTTTTTTTCGAACTAACTACCTGCATTTCGCGAAATTCACGCGCGATAAATAAAGCTACTTACGTTGCCGTCTGCGTCAATAACAATGGCGGGCATAAAGGCAATTTCTAGACGTAGATAAAGAAAAATTAAGAACCCAATGATTTTTTGGCCGAGAAAATGTTGACAATACATCGACGAGTATTTCGCAAAGAACGGGCGTCGCAAACAACATACGAAGATGAGTTTTCAAAATCGAAAATATTTAAAAGCAAAGGTATATACTGTTCTGAGTTGAATTTTCTTTGCATATAAATATAACATCAGATCACCTGAGGTCACATACCGAGTTTT